TCTTCTCTTTTGGTTTTGTCGTGACGATGTGTGTTTTCCTTTTTGCGCGTGTGTTTTCGTGATATTCGGATTGTCAATCCCCGCACCGACCAGGCGCAGCACGCTGTCATCCAGTCCCGCCCCGCCCCTCCCCCCCGAAAGCCTCCCCATCCCCCCCTAACCCCGACCCTGACCCACTCAACCTTGCCGCACATGATCACGCGGCCAGACACTCACGCACGCGCATCATGCTACCCCTCTCGCCCGATATCATCAGGCGGTGTCACGGCGTGGGTGGAAAGGCTTAGAAACGAGTCTGTTTTGCAAAAAAAATCCTTGGGCTCACATCTGTCCGCAAAAAACGAAAAATTTTGCACTCCGCGAGACCTCGATAGAGTAGTACCCAACGCGGCCAAAGGATATCCACCTCGAGACCTCGAGAGTAGTGCTGAAGGCGCTGTTCTTAGCAATCAAGCTTTGCTGAGTGACAGACAGGCAAGCCATGCGCTTGTCCGCTCGCGCTTGCCGCGCCGCATTGCGCCCGACTATGCTGACCGCGAGCTGCACGCATAGACCCCCTCGACGCCTATCGCTCACGGAACCCACCGCCCCCTCACCTCCCCCACCACGCGATGCGCCTCGCTCGCGGCGCGAGCGGCTGCACCCCCCTCGGCCTCGCACCGCCTGCCTACGCCCGCTCGCAGGTACAGCCGCTGCCATCGAGGAGGCCGCGAGACGCGTCCGCTGCTGCCCATTCCACACCCTTGTCCCGCGCGAACCCGTCCGACCGCCCTCCCTCTCTTACGGCAAGAGAGCGATTCGCTCTCGCTGCTCGCCAATCGCCGCCCGGCTCCAGTCCGAGAAGACGCGAGAGAGCGTGCCGGCGGCCTGGTCTGGACGCTCACGCCGCGACGTGCGGTCCGTAGGCGCGTCGTTCTCCTGCTCGACACTCTCGTCCAAGACCAGTCATCAGAGCTCCTCTGCCCACGGAGAGATGCGAAACCTGATGCCATACCCTGGAGCGAGGTGGTGGGACGGGGGCGGGGGTGGCGGTGGCGGTGGCGGTGGGGGTGGGGGTGGGGATGGAGGGTGGGGGATTGGAGATGTGTGAGATTTGCCCGAGATTGCCCGAGATTTTCTCATACTCCCATATACCCCCATATACCCCCATATACCCCCATATACCCCCCAGACATTTCCATACCAGTTTTTCACCCTTTTTCACATGGTCGCGATCCCGTAGGCGCTTGCCTTTCCTGCTCCGAGCCGAGATTGACCTGAGATTGACCCCGCCGAGCAAAGTTCCCGCCTGCTCGCATCTCTGCTGCGTCTGTCTAGTGCCACTCTGTGTCCGCAGCCGCGAGGGCCACTCGAGCGCTGGCATGCACCTCCCATTGGGGACACCACCTTTAAGCGCTTCTTGACTCTCTGCAGGAATTCATTCGATCAACACATGCTCAAACTCGCGTTCGTGCCGGCCGCCGGTGACAAGCTCGTGCTCAAGCTCTCTCCTCCGCCGCCGCTTGCTGACAAGAAGGTGTGCGTGTTAATTTGCAGTGGCTGAGAGAGGGGGTATGCACACGCGCGCCGCTGCAACGCACGCAACGCTGCGCCTTCCCTGCAAGACGACCCTCTCGCGTTCTGTGGCTGACAGTCGTCTCTGGCGGACAACACGACCGTCATCGACTCTGGCGGAGGCAACGCCGTCCGCATCCCCTCCGAGCCCGTCTCGCTCAAGGATGGCATCGACACCGGCACCGGCGGCACCGGCACCGCCAGCACCGGCACCGGCAACGTCCTGTCCGAGGGCGAGCCCGGCCCGCTCAAGGACGGCATTGACGCGGGCGGCAACGTCGCGGGCGAGTTGTCGCCGATGAGGTCCTCCGCGAAGGTCGGAATCGTGCCGGCTGACGACGGCCACATCACGCTCGTCATCTCCGCGTCGGTGTCGCCTTCGCTCCTCGGAGCCAAGGTGCGCGTGCGCACGCCAGGATTGTAGGGATCATCCCTCTCCCGTCTCAGAAAGCCTGCGCGTACTCTCCCTCGCCCACAGGCGTGCGGCGTCAAGAACGACGTGAAGGACATCTCCGTGGCGAAGTTTGGCACGGAGGACGTCCCCAAGAAGGACCCGGCCGCGGAAAAGGCGCCCGACGCGGGCGCGGACGACTCGGACAAGGCCAAGGCCATGTTCGCCACCCACGCGCCGAGCCCGTCCGCTGACTTCTGGTCCAAGTTTACGCGCCCGACCGGCCCGCCGACGGCCCCCACCGCCGCCGTCGAGGGCGCCCTCAAGAAGGACATCCCTGCGGCAGAGTCTGGCGCGGAGGCCTCCGTTGACGAGACCGGCGCCATCAAGAACCCGGCGCTCAAGCCGGTCACCAAGGTCGCCACGGCCCTCAAGCCGGCGGCGACCGGCGGCGCGCCGCTGCCGTCGATCAAGGAGTTTCCGGCGGAGGAGCCCGCCCCGGCGGCGAGCGCCTGGCATTCTGCGCGCCGGCGTCTGCCAGCCCACTCTGTGACCCCATCCCGCGTTCGACGCGTAGGGCGACGCCGACTGGAACGTCTCGACCAAGGAGTTTCCAGAGGAGACGGCCGCCCCGGCGGTGAGCACCTAGCACCCTTCTCTGCACACGCGGGTATTGCGGGGACACGCGAGTCCTACAGCGGGCACTTACACTGACCATGTGACCTCTCGTCCGCCGCACGTCACGCGCGCGCAGGGCATCGACGAGTGGAAGACCCCCTCCCCGCTCCGCAAGATCGAGCGCAAGGGCGAGTCCAACCTGGTCGACCGCTCCAAGAAGACCACCAAGAACCTCACCCCGATCGGCCGCGTCGACCCCAACGGGTTCGCGGCGCTGCTCGGAACGGACCTCGACGAGGAAGACCTCGCTGACGTCGGCTCCGGCAACGCGTTCGACGACGAGGAAGACCTCGCTGGCGTCGGCTCCGGCGACGCGTCTGTCGGCGACGCCCCGCCGACGTCGTCGACGCCTTCGGCGCGTACTGCCTTGCCCGTGCAGCGCGCTCTGCTCGTGACTAAGCCTCGTCCGCACTGTTCACAGGGCGCCGTGCAGGAGACGGAGCCGATCTCGACGCGCTCCGGCTTCCGCTTCGGCAAGTTCTGTTCGACCAAGCTGCTGTGCGTCTTCTTCTCCGTGGTGATCGGTCTGGGCTGCTCGGCCTTTGCTCTGTCTTCCTACGGCTCTGCCGGCGTCTCCGAGCTCCTCGACGCGGTGTCCGTGCCCGACGCGACCGCGACCCCGGTGAGGAATAGAACTGGAGCGCAAATGGCTCCCAGCACGCCCTGACTCTCCAACACCACGCCAAAGAACGAGTTCAGCCCGACGGTGCGCGGAACGGCGTTTGCACCGTCTGCGGCGCTCCCGACTATAGTTGACAATAGGCTCACACATTATTTTCTTAACGTACGCAGGCCGTCGACTTCTCGAAGACAACGCCGGAGATTGAATTCAAACCTACGCTCGAGACAAAGCGCGGGCCGCTGTTTGCTCCTCTCGACGACTTTTCAGCGGTTGCCGATGACTGTGCAGGGGAAAAGGGTTGCAACTGTGGCGGCGACTGCAACAAGTGTGTCGCAAGCCCTGCCGGTAAAGCCCGGGGGGATCCTGATGCAATCACCACCAAATGTCAACAAAATTGTAAGCAAGCAGTAGTTGGCTATTGTGGGGCCGGCCTGGATAACTATTGTACTTGCGGTGGAGGTGGGCCCACGCCAGATCCATCTCCGACGCCATCTCCATCTCCATCTCCAACGCCATCTCCATCTCCGACGCCATCTCCATCTCCGACGCCAAGTGGTAGCTGGAGCGAAACCATGAGCGGCATGACCTACGATCCGTCCTACACGGGGCAACACCAGTGTGACACTTGCAAGCAGGGCGCTTGCGGCATGTGCTGGAATGACGGTGGGGACATCAACAAGCTGGCTTGCGCCAATCTGGATCAGATGTCGTACGGGCACGGTGTGCATAAGGGTCATGAGTGCGGCGAGTGCGTGTTCCTGAAGTGTGTGGATGAAGGGACGGACGGCGGCAGCTGCAAGGACAAGTCGGTCTTCGCCCATGTACGAGTTGACAACGGGTACGCTGCTTCGGAGACCGAGACCTCTCCGCATTTCTTCGGAAACTGGAACGATAAAGGACAGGCCCGCAACTACTACCAGTGGAAGCCTAATCCAGACTGCAAGTTGACGGATTCATGATTCAATGAGCGCCATCCATCGAGTTTTTCCCCTTAGGGAGAACACAAGATGATGCGGCCTGGGAAGATGTGCATTAAGACGATAGCGAACGACCCTGGGGTCGAAGACAATAGAGAACGGCAATCGGTGCAAGTCCGGCATACGCGCAGGGAAAACGAGTGCGCGGCCCCGGGCTACTGGAAAAGGTAAGACGATACAAGAGCCCTTCACAGGCCTAAGTCCACGGCGCCAGAACTCAGTGGCAAAAACACCCACTGGCGACCCACCGTGGCAGCGAGGATTCCCGGACTACTGGACAAGGTAAGCGGTAATGCAGCGCAAAATACGAGCTGGCGGCGCGACGGAAAACGAATGGACTCTCTCTAACCCGCGACTCTAGCCCTTCACAGGCATAAGTCCACGGCGCCAGAACTCAGTGGCAAAAACACCCACTGGCGATCACCGGGGCAGCGGCGGTGTTTCTCAAGACCGTATCTTGGCGAGCTGTGTGTGCGCCTAACGTTAAAGGCACACGCCTCGATCTACCGTGATTGTATGTGGGAGGGAAGATGTAACATGTTATGGGTTAAAATAATGTTCGTCTCATTAGTTGACAAAGATCGCGTCGTGCTCGTGGTAGAAACCGCGATGCGCCTTGACGTAGAGCCGTGCGGCTTTAGCCTTAGAGCCGTGTGGTACCCCCCTGTAGAAAATGAAACCGCGCGCTGCCGACCGGACGGCCGGACGGGGAGGTGCGGGCACGCACTGGCCACTGGCCATGCCACTGCGCACTGGCACTGCGCCACGCTGGCAGTGGCAGTGGCACTGGCGGTGCGCGCTGGACTCTGGCGCGGCGTGCAACTCGACGAGAGACGTAGAGACATCCAACATACTTACGCGAATCCGTAGGGAATTTGATGTGTACCTACCAGGGAGGACGTGGCCCTGAGTTATGTGTACGCCAACTCAGGGTGTGTGGCAGCCAGTGTCTTGTGAGCCTGTTTGTGTCTGTGTGTCGCTCGTGTGCTGTTGCAAATCCTGATTCTACTTACTAGATCTGATTCTATCTACTAACACTACTACTCTCTATGATTCCTCGTCGCTGTCGCTTCCTATCTCCGTCCAGACTTCGGTTCGAGAGAGTCTGAGAGTGTCTCGAGAGGTCCTCCTGACGTCGTCGAAGGTCCTCAACCAATCCAGCGGATTGGAGGTCGTCCTCTCGTCACATGCACAGAGGTCCTCACAAACGGAGGTCCCCACACACGCAGCACGCACCTCCCTGGTGAAATTACCAAGAGCTGGGCTACTCGACGCGCCCTCTCTACGCTGACTCTGCTTGTCTGTCGCTATCGTGCACTCCGCCCAAACTTCGGTTCGAGAGGAGTCTGAGTGAGTCTCGAGAGGTCCTCGTCTCACAGCGCGGTCAGGGTGTCAAAACAGCATCGCAAGCTAGGTGTTGTGTGTGTGCTGGAGGATTGCAGCCAAAATTGGCTGTGCTATCCCTGCGCGCAGGCCGAATCGTGAGGGATGCAATCCAGCAGATTGGGTGGGGGTCGTCCCCAACCTCCACAGAGAGGTCCTCACAATCCGAGGTCCTCACCAACGAACGGAGGTCCTCACATTAGCACGCGCCTGTCAAGCCGTAGCCGTTGCACCACGCGCAGTGCATGTCGAGCAACGAGTTTGCATTCCTTAGAGGGGGCCATGCAACACCGAGAAGTGCCCAGAAAGGCTACTGGTGCTACTGGTGAGGCATCAATTTGGTCCAGACGTGCTTGTATGTCAGAGTTGTGCGACAGAGAAGCCCTCGGGCTCGATGCAGCTATCTGCATGTTCGCGCTAGGAGCGCGGCTCCGGCGGTGCCGCGTTGGGCATACTTCGGCTCGCGGCGCGTTCTTCAGCAGTCTTCGCGTTATAGGCGCGTTGCGCTCTTGGCGCGCGGCGAGCGAAGAAAAAACACAATCGGCAACGGCATTCGGCATGCGTCCCATGTCCCATCGCGCCCTCCCTGGCGTCTTCACGTTATTTGTTAGGGGCTATTTGGCACTTGGAGCACTTGGAGTGCAGTCATCAACCGCACATCCAGGGCCGGGGAGCTCAGAAGCGCACCCAGCGGGCCGGATGATTGGCATCGGGTTACGGGCTAGAGAGCCCTAGCCCCGGGGGTGCGCGTTCGCAGGGAAAGGGCCTTAAAGTAAACACGGGTCTCCGAGGGTTGGCTCCGCGCTCCGGGTTTCCCCTAGCAGCAGACCGCCCCCTCTACTCGGAGCTATAATGAACACCAGACATGAACACTTTGGCTAGTGCCATTTCACTGTGGCACAGCGCGCGTTACAAAACCTTGATTTTGACCATGCGCGAAAAAGGTACATCTCGGTGCCTTCCAGAAGCAGCTGCGACCCCGCTGAGCGGTCTGCTGCTAGGGGAAACCCGGAGCGCGGAGCCAACCCTCGGAGACCCGTGTTTACTTTAAGGCCCT